CTAATTCTGGTCTAGATAAATCCCAATCCACTAATCCGCAAAATCTAGAAAAGAATCCATTGCAAAAGCTACCTATGAAACCGTAGAAATTGAATCCTGAGCAATTTCCTCACAACAAAATCAAACTCAACAAAACAAAATCAAACTCAACAAAAACAAACAATCAAAATAATTCACAATCAAATGGATAAGAAAAAAAAAACTCACCAGGGCCGGCTGAAACCGGAATTACTTTGAATTTTGGCTGTTCGCGGTCAGCGCGCTCATACAAGCTCATTGGTGCGCGCTATTTTACGGCCTGGAGCCAATTTCAAGCCAAACACGTGAAAAGTACCCCTCATTTGAACACCCATAACTTCGTTGAAAGTGAAGCTATCGGAGAGGGGTAAGTGGGAATGAGGAAGCTTGAAGATTTCTACTTTCCAGCAAAGCTTTAATTTTCTTCCTAGGCCTGCTATCCGAAAAAATTTCTCGTTGTGATCATTTCATGACCAACCCCCCCCACGACACGAAAAATCAGCCCCTCCGAGGCCATGAACCTCCGGTTGGCTTGAAAACTTTGGTATGCTTCTAAAACACATGTTTTCGGTACAGGAAATAGGCCATTGGGCGCCAATTGCCATCACCTCTGCAATGCGCATGCATGGGGCTTCACGCAGGTGTTTGGAAGGTGTAACTTCTAGATAGGGCTTCCCAATTGCAAGCAAATGTGCTCCTGCAATCAGAAAAGTCCGGGAATGTACTTTCGTCTGTTCCGTAAGTCCTTTTGCATTTATAAATTCATGGTGCCCTTGTGGGCGGTGATCGTAGCTCCTATCATCGCCCCTTCCTCGTACGTATTGTCAGTATGCTACACCAGCGCCAGAGTGCTGGACGTGCTTGGGACGTACGTAGGTACTGCGACCTCCCCTCCCCCGCTCGACAGCAAAATTTTGTAAAAAAAACCAGAAATTTTTTGGGAAAAAATAGACAAAGTGGTAGGAGGTTGGAAAAATCTAGGGAAGAGGTAACATGGGGAGGGGGTCGTACTTGAAGATGGAATTAGGGGGGGTCGTATTTTTCAGGAAATGATCACAACGCAATGGCGTGCCCTGGGTGGGGTATAAGGCTTTGTTGGCCTAAGCGCGAGTCGACTCGAGATTTGAACTAAGCACCACGCGAGTGGTAGGCGTGCCACCTGCCACTACACCACCTCCACCTCTGCAGTCATGTAGGGTTAAAGTCTAAATCTTTAAGATGCAGTAGGCGTGTCCACGTACTTGTACGTGTGGCGGCCGCCCTTTTGGTGCTAGATTTTCATTTTAGGGCGCGACTGTGATTGATCATGATTTTGTCCTCACACAGACAAATAGAGGACACTTCCGTGCGGGAGAATCCTACGGATAAGTCACGGGCCGAAGTTGAATGAAGACTCAGGCCGCGCTTAACCGCCGTCTCAGGGTGTGGTGTCCATCGATTAGCTGACATTAAAACGCCTCTAAATGTACAATGTGGTGGTCTCTCTACAATGCAGGAGAGTGGCTGACTCGATGCTCCTTTCTTTCGCGATTCAAACGGGTCGGATGGCTATGAACACCCTTACAAAATCTGTGAGATGGAGCCGAGGGGAGCCGATGGAGGACTGAGGACTACAAGCCCAGTTACTATGGCGGAGATTCAGAGGACTCCCTGTGTAAAACTGAGATTGCCGTGAGACGACGATTCTATTGGGAGTTTACGTCTCCCGTCCAGACGCGTAACGCTCTTTGACCCTGGATGGCACGGGAAACTAAGTTGCAGTGAGTGCCTGCACAGCTTAACGCGTGGTGAAATAATCTTCTTTATTTTCTCAATCAACGAGAAAAATCCTTTCGGATGCCTCGCAATCGTTCAATATTTAAAAGCTCCTCTTTCAGTTATACTTCCATAGTCAGCTGGCACTGTGCCCACCAGGAACGCCAATTCCTTGTGGTAAACACCAGTTCCCTCTACAGGTAGGTCGCTACCAATTTTTTGCTCACAATTTGCCCAGAAATTTTCACTTTTCAGGTGCTTATACCAGAAAATGCTCCAAGTAGTTACGAAAGCCAATTCGGTTCCATTCGGTACCAGGTGAAAGTAATCCTGACAGCTAATACTGACATACCTGCTTCTCAAGCACAGTCGGAGTTCAAAAGCACATTGAATCAATTTTTAGGACATACCTCTCCGAAGATTCCCAATAGTTGTATTGGCTCGTTCATTTTTTTGATCAAGTGCCTGTAAATGTATTATCGCCAATCGATTTCAAAGATGAGGTACACATAGCATGAGCCTTTTTGGTCAAATACTTTACAGATGAGCGACTTTCCTCTAAAATGCTAACAAAATCGCGGGTCGCTCTCTGCTGAAGCAGTCTGTGTGGCGAGTTCGGTGACAAGGGGGGAGGGGGAGAAGAGCATTTTGAACTTTTGCTGCCTCACTAGTACCGTCTACCATGTCTTCCGGTGAAGACTCGCGACTCTGTGAAGCTGAAAGCATCTCCGTAGAGCCACCATACAACAGGGAAAACTCGAAAACAGGCCTCCTTAGATTGGTCCGACAATCGATCAAAATGTCCCTCCCTCCCACCGTCGCTGAACGTGCACAGAGCTGTGTTATTTTATGAGTTAAATGGGGAACCCCTGCCACAGTTGTTGTTTAGCAGGACTGTGAGTGAATTGAAATATGTTCTAGACATAGATCAAAAGGAAAAGAGTGGTAAGCGAACTCAGGATGCGCCGCTCACATGACTTCTTCTGAGAATCGTAGAACCATTTGATTGCATATTTGAGGTGAACCCTGCTTAACACAGTGCTACAAGTATTGAGAGAACTGCAACGCTGGTAACCTCCATGGATCATGTCGCTGGTCATGTGAGATAATGGGTCCACAACTGGCAGCATTTTGTCGTTTTCTCTGGCCTTGAAAGTGCAGCTGTAAGAGAGAGGTGGTCATACCTCAATGCCGTCTTCATACTCCACTCGCGCAGCCGCATGGCTAGCCGCACACCCAGTCATGGCCAGTCCTACCGCATCTTAGGAGTCCTGTCTACACTCTCCACTCTTGGTTGCTCCTCTACAACTGAGTACTGTATCGCTGCCAGGTCTTGGTATCGATGCAAACGGTGCACGTTGAGGCTAGCGCGGGCGGACGTAACGACGCCCCTCGGGTACCACTTCCGTACAAATTGGTTCCCGTGCACATTTGAGCGGAGAAAGTGGCACGCACGCTACCTGCAGCTACGGATCCACTCACCTCGCACAAGGAATATATCGCTCTCGCAGGCGAGTGTACAGTTTGTTCTTGGACCGCACATCTGTGAACACGGTAGGCATGGCTGCATACTTCATTTGAGGATTCATCGCGGAGTAATTCATTCTGAAAGCCACGCCTACCGCATCTCAGGAGACTGGAGTATATACTGCACAAATCTGAAAACCACTAAACTAGACGCCAAGATGTTGACCGTCACACTGAACTAGGTGGATCTATTGAATCAGCTGTGCAGTGGTGAATTCGCACTCTTTTATTGCATCAGTTGTCAGCCATCAGGCGTCAGGCGTCTTTCATCAGATATTGCAATCTTGTGACTGGAATATTTCACTCCTGGGACATTTCTAAACCCCAAGTGTCACCAATAAAGAATCGGTAGTTGCACTCTGGAAACGAGCTTACAATGACCTCCGAGGGTCACCGATGACCAATTCAGTGCTTTTGCTCTGCCACGAGTCTGGTAGCAGTTCACCTGTCGTGGTCTTTGGGTTGGGCGGTTGGGTGGGCGGTCCGCGTGGGATGAAAGCCGTGGTTGAATGTGCATCTGCCCTGACGAAAACGCATCATTCCGGCCCTTGAAACGGCTGATTTTTCTAAAAATTTCTGCGATCACTTCTCAACATTTTCCGAAACTGCTTTACTCTTTTATTTTTATCATTCAACCACTGACCTAACCTACCATCTGTATTACTACAAGCAGCCAATTCAGCAACTTGTATTGTAGAAGCAATTGTAGAAAGAAGTGGTACTTACTATCAGAGAAGCTTCTGAAAGGTCCACTTGAGATCATCTTCATGAAAAGCGGCGTAGTTCTCGATGATGACGCAAAAACATATTGAGGTGGAAGTAAGAAGGGGCAACGTCAGGGATGTTGCGCTAATGTGGAAGAAATGCCTACTCGACTCAGCGTCACATCGTCTGAATCGAGTTCTCCACTCTGAGCCTATCTGCCACCCTAACCGGCAGTTCGTATACCACATTCGCAGTACGTCTTAGCCTTGCTGGTAAAACTGTATCGCAGCATCTCCCAATGTAGAACTTTCTTCACGTCCAGTCCAGCAACACAACGTGATCTTCTTGAAGGGCAGTTAGGTGCGAAAAGAGTCCCGCAGGAACGATAGATGAACTACGCCTGGCAGGAATTGCGCGATCCTGAGCAGGCGCTGCGTCGCGCCTTTCCCAAGGAAGGTACCCTTATAAGGGCCCTATCAAGCTACAACATACCGACCCGAACGCCCAACACGCCTAGTAGCCGCCCACGCGCCATGGACGACGTACCTGATGCGTCGTATTGCTTCATTTTCTAGGTGAAATGATGAAGCGGTATTGTAGAAGGCGGGCTGCGGTACTGCATGGATGTATGAGTAAATACGTGCAACCGTACATACCGTAGCGGTTACTGTCAAGATGCCTGCGGGAAACTCGTCCAAAATTGCTTTTTGAGTCATTAAAAATCAGGCTTTTCTTCGCAGGTTTTTGACCGTTTCACTTCGCTTTTTCCTTTTTCCCCATTTCCTCTACTACATAGCGCCCTGCTAGCATTTTAAGCGTAGCAGACTGTCGTGCCAACTGCCTTCAAACGGCGGTCTAGATTTTCTCTCTCGGGATTTTTCTCCCGGGTTGGATGGTAAGAGCTTTTTCCTCGTAGTGTCATCGCAGTTTTAGTTGTTTCGGGAGATAGAGCAGCGCCGCTGCCATGAGATAGCTCAATTAAAGTTTCCAGAGCTCCGTCAGCCGCACTTGTCTAGGGGTCAACTCATGGCATCATGCAGGGTACCACCAAAGCAGGACAACTGTATCCGGAAAATGTTTCATGCCCAACTAAAACGCTTACAAGCACTTAATTTTCACCCAGAGCGTGAAAAAGGCCACTCAAGAAAGCTCGCCATTAAGCCTCTACAAGTACCCTTCAACGCCACTAATTTTATATTCTGTCGTCATGTAATTTCAGTTCGAGGACTTCTCGCATCTGATTTTAAGGTTCTAGAGCGGAAGAAGTTTTCGAGAGCTGTTTTTATTGCGTCCGCCTCGCTGAAAGTGTTCTTGAATCAGACAGGGCAAATATCTGCAAGTCGCAAGCGGCACACCAAGATGCGAGCGAAATGGGCGAAAATCACAGTAGTCTTTCCTTATTCACGTGAAGATTTGGGGCCCGCTCTTGCACGTGTCGAAAGTCGAAGTGGTAGCACTTACTGTTAAAGCTCGATGGTAGTTAAAAAACATCTGTCAGACGAATAAAAATGTCACGGATAGTTTGGTCTTCAATTATTTCAAAACAGTATTGCTGATGAAGTTAAATTCCCAAAAGAAGAGAAAATAAAAGAGCTCATCAAGAACAAATGAACAGAATCGATTTCTACCGTCACATCGACCCGCCCAGCGATCTCTATGCAACCCCTAGCTCACAAATCGCTTTATCGCATCTCCCAGTAGTGGATATCATCCAATGCGATGAAAAGAACACGAATAACAACAAAACGACGGCGAAACACTAAAAAAAAAGGAAATAAAGAAAATTTCAAGTAAACTCGGCGACGCGAATTAGGGCCGCTTTTCTAGTCGCACTTCATATAGTTCTAATCAATGTGTCACCGGCAAAACCTTTGAATTTTCACCTCATATAGACTCCCTGAGTGCCTTGAACCTTGTCGATTCTGTGGGCCTTCTCCTAGAGCCTGTCTTGGGAGACCCGAAAGATACCGGCCGGGATTTTTCTATCAAAAAAAAGCAGTTTCAAAATAGCACTATTTGCTATTTATTTATCTTTAGGTGTCTGAGTTTTCGATAGAATGCGCACACAGAGTTCTGAAAAGCAGTAATTATGCAGTGCATTACCAGGTCAAACTTTTGTGTGCGGAATCGCCAGATACTCTGAACAGAAGGCTGAGATAGCCTATGAGTAGTAAACCGAATATATTTTTCTAAAACACTGTGATATTCATTTGGGCGAAGACAGAGAACTAATGGGTCATCCTCAACGGAGCTCTTGCCTCATATACTTCTAGAACGGCAATGGGAGCGGACCAGTGTTCTCGTTCTGTATCAGCATAATGATCCTTTGGTTCTCCACATATTTTTGGTGACATTTCAAAAGCTTTTACCCCATAAAGAGAAATATTACCGGCTGATTTTGTAGTTGCTGTGGTATGAAAGTGTTAATGCCTTTTCGAAATCCTCAAGTTATTGTAGACCGCCTTCTGCTGGGATATTCGCACATTTCTCACATTTTCAATCAATAACCAGTAATTTAATGTTTCTTTTCACTTTCGTATGAGATATGTGTACTCCACACTTGCAAACGTGTTCTCGCTAGCTTAGAACAGGATAGATGCCAAATAAACATATGAAACAGCGCAGAGAGGAAAATGTATGGCACGCGTGTCGCGGTCTAGAACGGGTTAAAGAATTACTGGTCATGTAAACCAGATTGTCTTTTTACCGTGAGTGCTACTTACCTTCAGCTTGAGGAGGCATAACGCCTTTTTTTGGTTTACGCCGTAGTGAAAATGGGAGATCCCTCTTGGCAATGACGCGAAAACGGTGACGCTCTTTTGCATTGTTTACCAGTGTAACTAGGCTGTTTGAGATCGATTAGCTGTTCAGATTACAGTAGCTTTTAGGAAACTCATCAGACCACTTACGATGATTTGCAATCACTGGCCGTGGAGCGGTTGAAAAGAGGTGCTTATTACTCACGAAGGACAGCATACGCGGAGTACGGCGTTCAAGAGCGAAGGGAAGAAAGAGGTGGCACCGGTCGGGCGGAGCCTCGACGGCGTCATAGCCCATATGAACCTAAAATATGCGGTAAGTTGATCGTTTTCTCTTGTTTGCAACTTGAAGACGCACGCATGTGGGTGGAGCCAGGCCGCTGTATTCTCCTCATTAAGGCGCCCTTCCTTTTCGCAATATTGACAAGGAGAGACGCACCAAGGAAGACGGCATTAGCAGGCTAGGCTCCGCCCACCCAACCACGGGATGTGCCTGAAAACGATCTATCTTTCGACTGTGTATTTTTAGTTTCAAAAGTAATGAGAAATTGGCCTAAACAAGTTTCCGTTTGTGTTGCGGGATGAAAGGATTTGTTGAAGAGAAACGCAGAATCTATCATTAGAATCTATATGACATTATAACCAGGGCACGTCTTGCCGTTGGGAAATCATTTGGAAAATACGCCCCCCCCCCCTCCCTTTTTGAGCTTTACTCCTTTGATAGGAGATCCCTTCCCAATCTGCTATCCTAGCTACGCTCCTCTAAATTCTCCCCAACTGTCTCTCACTTTTCTGGAGGACTTCCCCTTTTCTCCACAAAAAAGAGCCGTCGAGGGTGCGGGGTAGGAGAAAGTGGGAGGGTAGGGTAGGGGGCTTGGGGTCAATAGTCTACTTGCAACTGAAAGCTTCTGATACCGATTCGCCGACCCGTACGGGACAAATGAAATTGTTGGCTCGGGCTGAGACTGATCCCGGATTTCACCTTTTGACTGTGCAGAGGCGCCTCTTGCCACTGGCCCCGCTTAAACTTCCAATGTAATATGGTTATTGAAACGATGTGTTTTTCTTGTATAAGTGGTGGCATTATCTTCTTGGGAGGTCTTTGTTGCGGACTAGACTCACTTGACCTTGATGTGTCCTTCAATACCAACCACTCAAAAATATCCTTTCTTTGCATTTTTGGATATGGAAGAATTCCTGGCTATTTCGAGGGTTACATAGTAGACTACTTTGTTGTGCTAGTGAGTACTAATGTTCAGGAAAAGAACTAGTTGGTAAAACGTACTTGTTGAAAATCACCTTCTGAACCAAAAAAGCGTCTCTTCTTTCTGATAATATTCTTTCTGTCTCTTGTTTTCGAAAATTCCGAATATCACTGAGTTTGTTCGAGCGTGACAGAGATGGAAGGGGGGGGGGTAGCATGCAGGAAAGGGTATTTCGCTCACTGAAGTATCTCCAGCCTTTCTCATGATGTGCAAGGCAGACATTTACACCGGGCACCCTCAGTCCTTCTTCCTTGCTCGTCGAGCTGACGTGGGTTTGATCTGTGCGCGCTCGAAGGACACGCGCCTCGCAGTGTCTAGCACAACAAGCGGTGTACCACAGCTTCGGCGTTGTCCGAAAGGCTGGACGGCTTGAGTCGTCCAGTGCCAGGGTAACAGCCTTCAGGAAGCTGCGGACTGTTCAATGCCGTGGAAATTACGCGGCTGCTTTAGGCGGACACATATACTGTGAGAATTCTCGGTCTCGCTGGCGGCTACGAATACCTTCACCTCATTACAGTGGAGGCATCGGTGGTGGGTTTGCCTCAGTTTACGGGCAGTCATTTAGCACGAGTAGCGTGCGGAGTCATTGGTGGAAGGGTTGCGAGCAGGCGTTTAGCCACATCCCATTCAGCCCTCCCACCGATGACACTGGCTACAATCGCCCGCCCCAGCGATCGTATGTACTGCCTTGAAGGAATACCTTGGGAATATCTCATCTAGAGACTCTATGTGCCATCCCGTCAATCGTGATAGGAGGGACTATGAGCAAAGTGTCTTTTTCGGTCTCCTTTGACACGCTGTATAGGTTCGGTCATACTGCTGGATGTTAGCGGACAATTCTCCACAGACTTGTCATAGAAACACCATGTTTCAGACTGCACAGTTATCCAGTGCCCACGTGGTCCTCGTGGCCCTCCCGGAAGCAATGGTGTGCCGGCGGATGACGGATTACCAGGTGTTCCGGGTCGCCCTGGTGTCGATGGAGTGTATTTAGGGAGAAGAAACGGTTTGCCCGCCATGTCCACCGGGGCCTCGTGGAGAGGACGGATCACGAGGAGAGCAAGGTAAGATAAGCGTGCTCTGAATTTGTAAAAGCTTTTAGATTAGCCAAGGGCGCTAATAATGGTAACAACAGGTAGTGCCGCTAGAAAGTACTAAGGAAATTCGGTAATTCAAAGTTTTTCTTTGATGTTTCACTTTCTAGCTAGCAAGCTTGACTGGGGTTAATAGCATTTCTCACTCGCAAGCTGCTGTAGGAGGGAACTCTATGCTCGCTGACTCGATGGAAATTCATTTACGCCGAAATTTCTGAAATAGTTTGATGTAGTTCCACACAGTGTTATTTTACTTTCGTATAGGTCCGCTGAACTGTTTTTTTTTATTTTTCCTTATTTTCAAGCTTCGCTTCCATAAGGATTGCTTCAGGTGAACAAGGAAGGCCAGGTGTCGCTGGATTGCCAGGAACTGATGGAACAAATGAACCAGGACCCGTTGGAGCTCCTGGAAACAGGGGTCAATCAGGAAGACCTGGAAAACAGGGCCTACCTGGTGAAGCTGGACAAGATGCAGTTCAACTCATTGGGGTTCCTGGACCAAAAGGAGAACGTGGTCCGCCTGGATTTCCTGGTCCACGCGGAGATCCGGGACTCAGTGGACTACCCGCTCCTCCAGGTTCGTCCGTTTATTCCTTACTCTGTGTCCGCAAATGACCTCGTGGCTTGATAACCGGGAAAAATTTTTCCGGTCAGCAAGCCACAGGGTCATTTGCGGAAGGATCACCTACTACATGATATTAGCTTCTAATTGTGAGGTAATTGTGATTATGATTATTATTCCAATTCCCTCGTAATTAGAGTAAAGGGGTCACGTAATTAGAGTAAAGGGGTCACCTAAATGGTGTTAATTCGAGTTATCACGCAATTGTGGACTGTGTCTTTAAGGTGATGTTAGCACGTAATTACCGTGAGTAGTGCTCTTGAACATCGTTTACAACCTGAGTAACTTAGGGAGTTCGTACCCTTCGCAATAACTCTACCTCTGATGAAAATTGTCGATTAGGTCTCGGAAAAAATATCCCACTATGTTTGCTTTTCCCTCTTCAGGACTTGAAGGACCGCCAGGACCTGTTGGAGAGCCAGGTGATCAAGGTGATTTCGGGATACGTGGTGCTCCAGGACGTAAGGGCCCTCCAGGAGAAGATGGAGGATACTGTCAGTGTCCTCCTAGAGAAGGTGGGTTCAGAATTGTACAGTATGTAATCGTTAGATTTACGCTTGTGCTAAATCGATTTCTTTACTTTCACAGGATTACTTCCACTACACATCTTACATATATTTGTCTCCTCGTTTCATACAGAACACTGTTTTCTTCCTTTGTAACGCGGTTTTTTCGTCAAGTTTTTTTGTGAAAGTTCACTGCCTGAAGTGAAACATCTCTCTTGTTACTCACTGAGCAGCAGTTTATTCGCTGATGTGCCTCTCCTTTCCAAGAGGGTGACGAGAAGGAGCTCATATGGGAGGGATCTGTTGGTAGGTCCGGCTCCTCCCACTCAACGAGCGCAGAATTCAGTCTATTGCCATCTCAAGAGATTTTGGAAAACTATTCATGTAGCTAGCTACCTACCTACCTAAGTACCAAGACTACCTTCTGCTTCAAAAGCAGCTGATAGCTGATAATAATGTATTTCATGAGGAACGTAAATCCTGAACTTCTAGTCATGAACTTTCCTAGCACCACAATCGTTCTCCCTGTCAGTTTTTGAGTTCTTCGTAAATCTTCGGAGGCTCTTTCTAAATAAATAATAGTTTAGTAACCCAGCGAATTTTCGATTTTAAGGAACTGGAGTGGCGAACCGTGGCGGCATGCAAAGCCTTCCTACCAGTTGGGAGGAATATCCACAGCCCCGAAATGAGTACCCAAAGGAAAAGCCGCCACTGTCGATAAGGCCCCAGTTCACTGAAGACGAATATATCGAATATCAACGCAGAACTAAAAACAAACATTACAGGGATACTCATCAAGCCCATGTCTGGTACGTTTCTCAGTTAATTTTTGGTCAGCTTCGGTAACGTTGGATTACATCTAACTGATTTTCAGTACTGGATATATCAAACAGTAGTATAGTAGAATCGAAAACGCACCGAAAAGCAGTACATTCCGCGCACAAATGGCGACAAACGGGTTGATCGCACTCAATGGGCTGATGTGAATCAGGCTGGTCCACTCCCTCGTGGAATACGTTTTTTACATTTGAAGCTTCCCTTGAAGGATGGGAACTTTCCCACTCAAAAATGCCAGAAAAGTCCAGGGGTCTGCGATAGCCAGAAGCCCCACTCCCTCGCGATACGCCTCGTTGCTCACAAATTTATAACTTTGATCTTCCTTTCCCTGACGCTCGTTGCTCTCACCCATGTTCGGCGTCTCGCTGGGTGTCTCTGCGTCTCTCTTCATCTGGCGCCTGCCCAACTCTGAAATTCCGGAATCATACCCGACGCTTTCTGCACGGTTCTTCTGCTTTTTTTTCCCTCCACTGGTGAATCACCTGACACCACCAATTTTATGAGTGGTCTCCTCAAAAATGAATCCTACGCCACATTCAGGTGAAATATGCAGACACGCCCTCCCACATTAGGGGGTATGAGTGAACTCTCCGACAAACCGGGAGTATTGCTCCCTATTTCTGCCGGACACATATTGGATAATTTCAGAAACTTTACTACCAAATCCTTTTCTTATTCTTTTCCTTTTTTTTTCTTCATTTTTATTATAGGCGTTCTCCAAATGCTGCAATGATAACATATCGTGACTCCAGAGAGAAGAAAACACCACACCGAGTGAGTAGACTCATTTTTTAATGGAAGGAAACGTTTTTCAAGACGCATTTCGCCATTACTCATAAGAATTGAATCCCATACATATAGGAGAAGGTAATGTAGATTGCAATGTGCAACCTTGCACCAGCTCCAAAGAAACGCAAGGTAAAGATGGTCAGGGGAAAATTTGCGAAAGTGGCTCCAGCGGAGTACAAGCGGCCCTGTGTAGGAGTCTGCCGTTTCGCTCGTTTCTGAGCCACCTCGCTGTTGTCTGGTCCTTTTCCGAAATCTCAACAAGTCGCTTCTTGTTCACCACAATGGAGTGCTTGTTTAGGGCGTTTTCGGCGGTTTCCTAATATATAATTGACGGATAAGTCAACTATCACGTACACTTCTGTTTCTCCGCCCCCGCTACCTAAGACGTTTCCAACAGGTTATCGCTAAACGTGTCTTTAAATCCAAGCTCACGTGCATTAGAACTTGAAAACACTTCCCTACTGCCACTATGATTACGAACTGAAATAACAACTTTAGAGTAAAACCACTCTTTATATTCTTCTATGCTTTTTGTTTTTCTTAACAGTTATCTGCGAAGTTTTGCAGTAAACTCCTGTCCCTCAGCTGCAGTCCCTTATGAACTGGGTTTTTCACAAGTTATTAGCACGCCAGTAACTCATGAACCAGTTCTGTCCACTTTCTTAGTAATGCAATTCATTAGAGCCATTTTCAAAAAATGTAAAACTTTTTCTAGCGACTCCCTATTGTTCGGCATTTCGAGGGCAAAAAGGCGACGAGGAACGGCGATACGATCGAGTTTGAACTTCGTGCTCGATGATGAAACTTTAAAAGTTTTAGATATACACGTATATACGATGATCATATTCAATGTTTATGAAATAAACGAATTCTACAAATTTTCATTTTTACACTATTACCTACACCCACTCCTACTGAAATAGCTCGTAAGAACAGCTGGCGAACATGTTTTGAAAAGTGCAACAATGTTATTACTGGAGTAGCCGTTGTTTGGAGACAAGGACCTTGCACTCTTTTCCTTACGGACGCGATCAGGTTCACACGGAGGGCAAGACACACAATCACAAGGGAAGGGGGCATTTGGAAGGAAGTACGAGGTTTAGAGACGGAAGATTTTCCGCCCTTAAAGGCACAGTTCGCGACCGCAAATTGCGGGAAACGGAACTCAAATAGGCACAAAAAAGAAGTATCTGATTAGCGGAGAAAAGCAGCAGAAAAAGCAGTCCGAAATGTTATAGAGAAAGATAACATAGTGGCTACTAGCTAGTAGCTAGCAGCCGGTGAGGGTCGGCATGGGCCTAAGGGGTGTCCATGGGCCTAATTAGTCAGCTTCTAGCGGAGTTCTTGCCGTTTTTCACATTTTGAAAGTAGCGCAGCCTCAAAAATCGCCTTCCGGATCGTCCGACACATTTGAGAGGTCATAGCCTTATTTTATCGCGGAATGTGCCTTTAAGAAATCTTCCTGGAAAACACGACCCCTCCAAATACTTCCTCTAGCAAGGCTCTTCCTGCCCACTCTACCTACCATGTTCCAAGCCGGAGGTTTTACAGAAAACCCCCACTTTTCCCAAACTCGAAAACTGCCGTCGGTGAGATGGGGCGGGGACGTGGGTGAATAGTGCACTTGAGGCGGGAGAAACCGAGAAAAGTCATCAACGGAAGCAGTTCTCTCGAGGGGAACTACGACTCCCTTGCTGAGAGTATTTAATGTAGGACGTGCCCCATTTGAAGAGGGCGGAAAATGATACCTGATAATACGACCCCAGTTCTAGTCCTATCTGACGCAGGAAAATGTAAGGGGAATAATATCCTGTTTTCAGGCTGTTAAGTAGGGCATGGACGGAGGTCAGGGTGTAGTGGCAAATGGCACATGGCCAAAGTGTGGGACTATGAATGGACTCTCGCCCAGGCCAACTAAGTCTTCTACCCTTAGAGACTCTCAATGGGTACAGATTCGTCTGGGAAGACAAGACACTGACTTGTACGTCGGCTGGCCCCGCAATTCATTGTATACAGGGGGGGGGGGCAAAAAAAAGACATTTCGACCGAGTCACATATCAGCAAAGTTTTCGCAGCCCAGACAGAGGACGTGGATACGAGTACCAGGGCGGAAGATACCCAAGATGTTCCTCTATAAGCAGGAGCTGGCGCTCGCCCATCACCTTCATGTACACCAAAATATGAAGTCATCTCCAGTCGCAACCTGACTGGAGAAGACCTTCGGAATTCATGTCACCTCCAAACAGCTGCGAAACTTCTAGTATGGAGTCACCCATGGATAGCTACCTGGAGACCAGTACTCTCGATCTGGAAGACCTCCAACATCGAGCAGCTCCGACAACGTCGCTACGGTCTAGGACATCATCTTCACCTCAGTCGCCAAGGCGCCAGTTGATGGTGGGACCGGACGTACCTGGAATGGAGAGACCGATATTTTCTTCGTGGGCCCCGGACTGAAGGTGAGCGCTGGCGGTTACATTGGGCAACTCGTGAAGAATATCCTCCTCACATGTCGTCGCCCGTACCTTCTTGGAAACTTTGTACTGCTACAGCATTGAGTGCCACCACATGAAATCGAAGGGCGTTGGAGAAACTCTTGCCTACTTGGAATGGAAGGGCGTTGAGTACCTGAAGAAGGTGGAATATCTAAGCAGGTAACCTGACCTAAACCCCCTCAATTACCTGGTTCGGGCGGAGTTCAATAGGGTGGTCTACAGTGGCGGAGAAATCAACGATCTCGCTGAACTCAGGCACCCACTCACGGTCGCGTGGCAGAATCTCTCGATGGCGCTCCTCCAGAAGGCTGTGGCGGAGTATCATGATAGTATTTGATATGCTCTTTAATATGGTGGTAGAAATGTCCGATAATAAATTTGATACTAAGTTGTAACTTATAGCGCCTCGAAAGTCGAGGAAGAAAAAAGTCTTTTTTTTGGCCCCCCCCCTGTATATATATGAGCCCTGGTAGAATGCGCGTCGCATGCTAAAACTATGGGAAGGCTCTGTTTGAAGGCAATTAAGCTACGATATAAAACTTCAAACGACCGCGTGTGTGGGATTTAACGTCTAGCAAGAACAGTTTCTCGCCGCTGCCAGCCCCCCCCACTAGACGCTATCGTGGCGCCTTACCAGGGAACCCTTATATGCGCCACATCGAGCTGCGAACATCCGACCGCGCCGCACGCCGACCCACGAAATGTCCGACGTCGCTTGCTGATGTTCGTATCGCCTCCTTTGTGAAGTAAGCTGTGAAGCAAACGGATTGATATGAAGCGGCTGTGCTGCTGCATGGGTATATGAAAACACAAGCGCAGGCGCACCTAGCGTACCGGTTATTGGCGCGATGCGCCAACGAGAAAGTCGTCCGAATTGTTTCCGGAGTCATGTAGACTTTTTTGCAGGTCTTTGACCATTCCACTTCGCTTTTTCGCCATCTTCCTTACTACATAGCACCGCTCTAGCAATTGCTATTACCGAGTACTAAATTATAGTGCCTTATGGCTCCGAGATGACCGCGAGTCCCTTTCGGGTATAGGAGATTCCAAAATTTGCGATACTCAATTCGGAAGTAGAGGAACAGCAGAAGCACAGTACAAGATTAGCAATGTTACGACGCACTGATCTGGTGGTTCCAACTTCTTCTGGTGCTGGTGAGCTATTGTAGCCAAAATCTCCGCTGAAATTTTTGGAGTCGATCAATACTTACGAGGGCCACCCCGTAGCCACGTATAGGAGAAAGTGGTTAGTGGTTAAACTGAGTGCAACGCGGCGAGGTATGCGTATATTGTTATTGAGTTCACTGGTTGAGTGCTTACACATGGTGGCCAAAAGAGCCTAATCGTTCTGCCGATTGTGAAAGTAGGCATGAGTGAGACGACGTCAGAAGTCGCTGTTTCGCTGCAACCAACGTCGACCTCTATCAATAATAATGGTAAGTGCTCCACTTAAAAAGAACATTCAGGAAAATTGATAAATTTTCCGTTATTTATTATTTCTGGAACACTGACCGAATCGCCCAGTTGTTGATTTCACGGCAATGGCCGGGTTACAAAGTTTCCGGTTGGGTGAATTACGTAAGACAAATCATACAACTTCCTTCAACTAGCTATCGGCATCCGTCACCCCATATAATGACTAGCAATTTGGTACGTAATCTTGTTCTAGACCTACATGCGCATATCCTGCGCATATTTGGATTGTTGCTATTAATACTACGTTTTACGACCCAGTCCGCCTAAATGCTTCATCTACTCCCTTTTTTCCTTGAGGCGGACCAAAATTTCTTGTCAATTACTACCTTTATTCGTGAAATCCTGCCAAAGTAACTCATGACAACTTCTATATTTCCGCACTTCCGCAATCGATATGTCACCCTTGACCGCTCCCACTCTGGGGTTTTTAGGTGTTCCACATTTGTACATTAAAATGGATCGTCTTCGTCGCCAATCAGTCCTTTTTTGGGATGCGGTAGGCATTCTACTTTCCACTGAGAAATGTAGTGGCTCACTGAATGCGATGCGCCCTTCACAATGATTTGCGGGGCCAGTAAATCTACATGTCAGTGCTCTTATCCTCCCAGAGGAGTCTGGTACCAAGTTACCGCCCTCAGGGGGTAGAAGGCTTCACTGGTTTGATCAGGGAGCCGACCTTGAGCATGGGAAGCGTGCCACTTGCCCACTACAGCAATCCTTCCACCGTCTTACAGATGCTCATTAGCGAATCGATTATTTTTGAAATAGAACAGAAAGGGAATTTGTTTTTTTTTCTCACGGGATTTTCGACGGCTGACATTTCCGCCAACTTCCTGTTGCTCGCTATGTCTGCAACTTTCAGGGAATGAAATCAGGCACTACTCACCTTGGGGTGGCTACACCTATGAGATTTTGGCAGCATACCAAATCCTGTAGACTGTATAACGTTGTCAAGATTCTGTAAGCCTTGTCATCACCTGTCAAGTATCGTGTTAACTCATGTCATACATTTTCAAATGACTAGTCGAAATTTGCAAGAAAATGGAAAAAAGGTGTCCAAGTGACAACACCTTTTCGCCAAGCTTGACAGTAAATTACAGGACATCCAGGGTAAGAAATATTTGAAAAGACAAAAAAATTTTCAAAGACCCACAAAAGTTTATAGGTTTGGCCCACCCCAAGTTTATTAGCGCCTAAACTTATATATTACGAATATACATCTGTATTATATGGACATCTAATTATATACATGTCATTCTAAACTACATCACAATCAATCACTGCAACTTGTTAAAAAATTAAGCGAAATCGATATTTGGTTGCAAATATCTTTTCACGTCATTTGCACCGAACATTTAGCTGCAGGGTACAGCACCATTGTGTGAAACACAGTGAAACACATAGGGAGGGGGGTCGTACTTTCTCTTTGAGGAGGGGGAGGGTCGTAGTTGGTCGTTAGGAGAGGGGGGGTCATATGTGTCTTTGAGAGAATTTGCACTATATACTTTCCCCCGCCCTCACCACCCCTCCCCGCTCGCGACGAAAAATTTTTGGGTGAAAAAAATTGGAGAATTGGGAAAATTTGTAGGTAGGTGTTGGGGAAGGGGGGGGGGTCGTACTGACATCCTCTCTCAGAGGGGGTCGTACCTACAACACCACCTCACACATCACGATGCTGTACCATGTTTAGCCGACTTCGCTTTAGCTAGGGCTCCTCTCTCTTAGAGGCACGATAATTTGGTGCCTTACAGAAAATGGGAGCAGGAGGACTAAATAGCACCCCAGTAAAGCGAACACGGGACGAAACGAGCGAAAATGCCCGGAATAG